GTGATGTCGCCAAGTATCAACCCCAACGATCTCCAAGTCTCCAATCCGGTGAGTACCACAGTCTCATACCACCGAAGTCCAACACTGATCTCTGTCCAACTAGTATAGGTCTCTGGTCTGAAGAAGAAGAAGAAGAAGAAGAAGAAGAAGAAGAAGAAGAAGAAGAAGAAGTCTGAAGAGAAGAAGAAGTAGGAGCCGAGGCGGAGAGAGAGAGAGGGGACTGGCGAGGGGAGGGAGGAGAGAGGCCTCCGACTCCCGATACCTCAGGCGGCTATGGCCGCCGGTGCACTCGGTCGCCGCTGCTGCTGCTCGCTCGCTACTGCTGCGCTGATGCTGCGCTGCGCTGCTCCTCGCTGCTCCTGCGCTAAAGATAGCGCCAGCGCTGTACCATACCGTACCGGTAGAATGCCGGTAGGTCGATCCTGGACTGAGGCTGGACTGGTTCTATATTCCGGTGGGGCAGAGTCCGGCCTCAATGCTGCGAGGCCTGGCCGTGCCCTGAACCGTCCAGATGGACGGTTCAGCCCCAACCGGCGGGCGGCAGCCTCAAGAGCGCCGCCAGGCCCAAACGGTAATGTCGTTTGGGCCTGCCCGTCGGGTCTGGTCCAAGGTGAGGCCTTTATGGCCTGTAGTACCCCCAAGGTCGGGCCTTTAGGCCCTGATGTGTCTCTCTAGCCCTAAGTCGGGTCCGGTAGGACCCCTGTGGCGTGGAAGATGTAACACTTCCCCCCTCCCCCTTACTCTCCTGTCCCTCCCTCTTCTCCTCTCTCCCCTCCCCTTCCCTTCCCTTTTGCTCCCCTTCCCCTGTACAATCATAATCGTACACAAAGCCACTTTGAAGTGTTTGCTTTGCTAATTGTCTACCGCGTGGGCGCGGGGAACGCAGCCCTTAGGTAGCCAAAGCAATGAGACTAAGAGCACGCACAAGAGAGAGAGAGAGAGAGAGAGTTTTGTGGCATTTGTTGATATGAGTGAGAGAGAGACAGAGTGAGGGAGAGAAAGGAAAAGAGAGAGAGAGAGAGAGAGAGAGAGAGAGAGAGAGAGAGAGAGAGAGAGAGAGAGAGAGGCTGAATGGCAAATTTGAAATATGGGTCAAACTGCAGTTGCAATCTATTTCACAGTTGGAATGATTTTTTAAAATTTATTTAGCATTTTTCCTGGAAAGATTACAACAAAATCTACAAGTAGCGAGAAAACTCACTGGATTTGGAGTACTTTTTCAGTTGGCCCACACATGGCTGAGTGGCAAAAATGGAAAATGTGCCTAATTGGCGCGACGTTTATTTCGCGGTCGAAATGATTTTTTGAAAATGTTCTGATATTTTCCCTGGAAAGAATGCGATCTCATCTATGGATTCTCAAAATTTCAGATTTCTCTGCGGATTCCTCCGAGCACATAAAATCGCCAAAGTTGCCTCTTGCAAAATGTCTCTTTCGTTGCGCCTGACCTCCCTGTTTTGAGAAGACGGCCCTCAACGCCTGGGCCTGAGGGCCCTTTTGCAGTTCACATGCCCTCACTTCTATTAGGGGTCCGCTTCCACCCAAGGACCGGTCCTTCCTTCCCTTCCCTTTTGCTCCCCTTCCGCTGCCCTTCATTTTCCTTCCTTTCCTCCCCGTTGCTTCCTCCCTTCCCTTCATTTTCCTCCACTTCCCTCCCCCTCCTCTGCTTCCCTCCCCTTTCGCTCCTCTTCTCCTTCACTTCCCTCCCCTTCTCCTTTCTTCCCTCCCCCTCCCCCTTCTCTACCCTTTCCTTTCCCTTTCCTTTCCCTTTCCAACCGCTTTCTCCCATCTGTACCTTTTCCCTCCCTTTTCTCTCCTTTTTCCCTGCCATTCATTTTACTCCCCTTTCCTCACTTTCCCAACCCTAGCCTCGCCTGCCGTGCCTTTTGCAGTGATTGGTGTTGGGCTAATTAAGCCCAATGACCTTCCCTCCCCTCCTCCCCCCTCTCCCTGCCGTTCATTTTACTACCCTTCCCTCCTTTCCCACCCCTAGCCTCCCTTTCCCTTCCTTTTGCAGTGATTGGCGCTGGGTAATTAAACCCATTGACTTTCCTCTACCCCCCCCC